TAATCGTTCTACTTCCACCTTCCAAGTGCTAGGATTACAGGTGTGTACCACTACACCTGACAAATTTGTACCCAATTAGACACAAGCCAGAACAGAAGTGGGGAGTCTAGCTGGTCAGGGTACTGGGTCAGGAGCATAATAACCTGAGGCCTAGTGATGGCTGTGTGGTCATGGGAGCTGGTAGTGAGTAGGCTAACAGAATATTAGTGCTCAATATGAGAAATGAATGAAAGCAAGAGACCAAAGACAACTATATTCTTGAGATTTTTGTCATGAGGGTCTGGATGGATGATGGTCCTACTCAGGACTCAGAAGTTTGAGTGGAACTCAGGGCAAGCGTAAGGAAGAAGTACAAAAATAAAGATAATGCTTTCTGGGGCTAAATTAAAGATACCTTTAACCATTACAATATATATTTATAGAGTACGGTTATTAAGCAATTTAGTTTTCCTCTAGTGGTTCATTTAAACATGTTCTGGGGCCAGGGATGTAGCCCAGTGTGAGCACTTACCTGGCATGCACAAAGTTCAGTCTCCTGCATCTCAAAAGGAAATTGATGACAAGTAAGCAATAAGCATGCTCTGTTGAAAGCAGTTTCCCACCCTCCGTATTCTTAAATGGTAAGTGCTTCTGACAACAAAGGGTCTCACTGGAGTAGTTAACATGCCTCAGTGGAAGAATGATGGACATGTCAGTGTCACTGGGTTGCTGCCATTATTGGCATAAAAGACAGAAGGAGGAAGATGTCTTTCATCCTTTTCCTCATGCTTTTTTTTTTTTTTTTTGTTTTTCGAGACAGGGTTTCTCTGTGTAGCTCTGGCTGTCCTGGAACTCACTCTCTAGACCAGGCTGTCCTTGAACTCAGAAATCTGCCTGCCTCTGCCTCCCAAGTGCTGGGATTAAAGGTGTGCGCCACCACTGCCCGGCTCCTCATGCATTTTTTATCAGTGTCTTTTTAAAAATTTTTATTATATATATATATATGCTGTTGCTGTCTTCAGACACAGCAGAAGAGGTCATCAGATCCCATTATCGATGGTTGTGAGCCACCATGTGGTTGCTGGGACTTGAACTTAGGACCTCTGGAAGAGCAGTGCTCTTAACCGCTGAGCCATCTCTCCAGCCCCTTATCTCAGTGTCTTAACTCTGTGATTCTTCATCTTTTTAGAGTCTTGGTAAGAGGAAGGAAAGCTATGTAGTGGGGCAGGAAGCTTGGCACATGTTAAAAATGAACTCTTTTTCCCTGTCATCATCACTAAGAGAGACTTCTTAGAGCTGGGAGATCCCCGCATGACTGCCTTCCAGCTAATTTCAGAGTTGTCTCTGGCCCTAAGCCTCTACTGGAACTCCTGTAGTTTTCATCTCAAGACCATACTTCTCCAGAAATGTAACTTGGATTCATTTTCTAATCATCTGGTCTATTGCCAGATGTGTGACATGAGGGATCTTTGTACTTTCAGGTAGAGATGTGTGTTGTTGATTGTTTGTTTGTTTTTGCTTTGTTTTGTTTTGTTTTTTGAGACAGGGCAAGGTCTCCTGTAACTTTGGCTGGTATCAAACTCACTATCTAGCCAAGGATAAACTTGAATTTCTGATCCTTTTGTTCCCACTTTCTGAGTGCTTGCTACATGCTCTGTTTATTCAATGGTAGGGATCAGACTCAGGGCTTTGTTCAAGCTAAGCAAACTACATTCCTAGCTCAACAGTCTTCTTCAAGGTACAAGGGTGAGAGCTGGTCTCTGTACATGAGAGCTCTGCCCTGTTCAGAAACTTTAGGCCTGGGGAGGGACTTTAGACTCTGCCTTTCACTTCTCTGTAGTGACTGAGGGAAGGGACCCAGAAAACACACCAACATTATTCAAGAAAAAGAAATCCTTTTTTTCTCATTAAACATCTTACTTTTTAAGTACCAATATGGATGAGTTTATTGTTGTTTGTTTGGTTTTTGAGACAGGGTCTTTTTTTATTTTATTTATTTATTTATTTTTTCAAAGATTTATTTATTTATTATATATGAATACACTGTAGCTGTCTTTAGACACACCAGAAGAGGGCATCAGATCTCATTACAGATGGTTGTGAGCCACCATGTGGTTGCTGGGATTTGAACTCAGGACCTCTGGAAGTGCAGTCAGTGCTCTTAACCTCTGAGCCATCTCTCCAGCCCCCAGGGTCTTTTTTTAAAATAATTTAGTTTTTATTTTTAATTATTTTTACATGTTCACTTTACGTCCGACCCATTGCCCCCTCCCAGCCACTCCCTCCCACAATCCTTCCCTCTATCTCCCCCTCCTCGTTTCCTCTGAGTGAGTGTGGGCCCCCAGGGAACCCTACCCCCAACCCTGGTATATCAAGTCTCTGAGAAGCTTGGCCTATTCTCTCCTACTGAGGCCAGACAAGGTAGCCCAGCTACAAGAACATATCCTATGTATAGGCAACAGCTTTTGGGATAGCCTCCTGATACAGTTGTTTGGGACCTATATAAAGACCAAGCTGCACATCTCTTACATATGTGCAGAGAGGCCTAGGTCCAGCCTGTGTATGTTCTTTGGTTGGTGGTTCAGTCTCCTGAGAGCCTCCAAGGGTCCAGGTTATTTTACTCTGTTGGTCTTCCTGTGGAGTTCCTATCTCCTTCTGGGCCCACAATTCTTCCTCCTATTCTTCCATAAGAGTCCCCAAGTTCTATCCACTGTTTGGCTGTGGGTGTCTGCATCTGTCTGAGTCAGCTGCCTCAGAAGAGCCGTGCTAGACTTCTGTCTGCAAGCATAACAGTATCATTGATAGTGTCAGGGATTGGTGCTTACCCATGGGATGGATTTCAAGTTAGGCCAGTTATTGGTCAGCCATTCCTCAGTCTGTACTCCTCCACTCAGCCCTATTCTGACCCCCAGCCCTGCATTTCTTGTGCACAGGATAAATTTTGGGTCAAAATTTTATGAGTGGGTTGGTGTCCCTATTGCTCCACTGGGGTTCCTACCTGGCTACAGGAAGTGTTCTCTTCAGGTTCCATATCCCCAATGCTGAGTCATAGCTAAGATCACCTCCATTGATTCTTGGGGGCCTCCCTTATCCCAAGTCTCTATCTGGTCCTAGAGATGCCCCCCATCTCCCCAACTCTGTCAGTTGCAGATTTCCTCATTCTCATGGCTGTCTGGCCATCTCTCCTGAGACAGGGTCTTTTAATCTTCCTAGCTTGGAACTTGCTGTATAGACCAGGTTAGCCTCAGATTCACAGAGCTCTGACTGCTTCTGCCTCTGGAGTGCTAGGATTAAAGGAAGACCACACATACACACACACACACGTTCTTGATCTTTTTTGTAAATCATATAAGACTTACCTTCACACATTTAAAGTACAACAGTTAGTCCCTAAAAGATTCTAAGACTAAAATCAAATATATTGTAGCAATATTCAGCTATAGTAAGCAACATTTAGCTTTTAACTTAATGTTCCAGAGGAGCAATGAAGTGGGAAGGTGGATTAGTCCAGAGGTCAGAGGAGTTACTAGGTTGGACGTCGTACTGGAGTCATCCTGATATGTTATTTGAAGCCATCTGATAATCTGAGAATGAGTGTCAAGAAGGGCTGAGGGCTACATTCTGTGTGAGGAGTCAGCTCTGGCCAGAGTAGCTTCAAGGACTGGCTCCCCTTAGCCAAGGGACTTTCTGGTCCTGTAAGCACTTTATCCCTATGGCACACTCAAATCTTTTCTTTTGTCACTTTCCAAAGGTTATGCAGCCACATATCCTGATTCTTGATCTGTGCAAGGGCCCACTGAAGATGGATGCTTTAGAGGAAGTTACCTGCTGGCAGGAATCCTTCTGAAAGGGACCAAGGGAGACACTTAGGAACCATTCTGTTCTTATCTGCAATAAACTCTCAATTTTTAGTTCAGTGTCTGTGACGATTAAGAAATGACAATATCTTGACCCAGAAGTATATTTTCCTCTGAAGTTAAAAAGTATCACTGAAGGGTACAATAAAAATGATGATTTTACTGGATGCCTGTCTCAATTCATTTGGTTTGTGACTAAGATATCTTTCTGCCCAGACATCATTGAAATTGAGCCTTAAGATAGTGATTGTACTGTCTCATTCCATATTCATTATCTGCCTTATTCCTAGAACAGTTATCCAGTTTCTTAAAATCTTTTCTTCAATCTACATATGGTTCCAGGTGAAAACTCAATAAAAAAAATTTAAAATATTGTGAGAAATTTCAGCAAAGTGTATACAAATAGAGATAAGCATATAAGAAACCCTCATCCAGTTTCAATAATGAAAACACGGTCTGTCTTGCCTTACCCATTGCTACACAGTTCTCAACCACAACAGAATGTAGAAGCAAGTCTTAGCTATGTTTCCAAAGATCGTCTTTCCAGATGGTGGGGAGTAGACTCTGTTTTCTTTCCCTGTCCTTGGATGGGAATAGCAGTTCCCAATACTTCATAAATATTTCCTTCGAAAGAGTCTCTTTCTGATTGTACATGACTGCAATCCACCCAGCCCACTGGAGGCTAATTCAGGAGAATTCCAAGTTCCAGGCCGGCCCCTGGGTGCATAGGCTTAAGATGAAATATAAAAAGGTTGTGGACAACTACCACACAGAATGTGATACTGTTACACTGTATATTTTACCATATTTAATATTTGTCGGGTGTTACAATTTGCTATCACAACTCACATTAAATACATTTGTATTTACAATTTTTAAATTTTTTCTATATCAATACTAACAAACGAAGGACTCTGACATCCCACACACCTACAAACTGAGGGGAAACACCTCCGAAAGGCAAGGAGAGAGGCTAAGTTTAAAGACAGTGTTCTAGTTTCCTGTGGATATGCCATTCTCTCTCCTTCCCAGGGACGTTGGTGTCGCAGGCCAGCGAGACCGCGCGGCCTTGCTTCGTACACTCACCGACTGAGGCTGAGACACCACCCACCGGAACTGGCTGAGGCAGTGCGCAGTGTGCACAGGGCAGCAGCCAGCTGGAGAGTAGGCCAGCCCTGAGGCAACCTGGGAGGCCTGTGGGCCTGAGGTGACCAGTGACCCGCACTGGAGCATCCATCTGTTGGGAGGGGAGGCCTGTGTCCTGTAGTGACCAGCGAACAGCGCGGGAACGTCCATCTGAGAGGAGGCCTGCGGGCCTGAGGTAAGCAGTCAGCAGCGCAGAAGTAGCCATCTGAGGTGAGGCCTGTGGGACCTAAGGTGGAGCCACCAGTGCGGGCGCTTCCATTTGAGGCCTAAGGTAGCCTCCCTTACCCGCTCACCAGCCCAGGAACATCCTTCTGAGGGGAGGCCTGCAGCCTGAGGCAGCCACCTCTCCCTGCCGAGAGCCATCACCCTCAGCTTCGGGCTATGTAACCAGTAATCTGCTTCCGTTCCAGGATAGCGAGGGAGGGGTCTCTAGGACACGAGAAAGAGGGGTGTCTAAACCTAGTTCGAGTCTCTTAAGACCATACATTTTCCACATTGATATACTAAGTTTCCTCCGTTTTTCTTACTCAGGGATTCTACTACTTATGGCTGACACAAAAACTTCAAACTGTGAAGAACATTTCAGTGTGGAGAAACTAAAGGAATGGCCAGAGCCTGAGTCTGTTTCTTTAATGGAGGTAACATTACACAGCTTTTTTTTTTTTTTGTCTTTCTTCTTCCTTCCTCCCTTCCTTTCTTTTTAATAAGAAGCAAGTTAATTTATTCGGAGCCAAGTGATAGTTCCTATTGTGGATCCACTGTCAAGACTGACCTGAGAGTCACTTGAGTGAAAGTACATCAAGGCCTCTTGATTTTCTTTTTGAGGCATCTTTCAATGGGACACAAAAATCCCTTGAGTTTAGGGCCAATTTGGCCTCAATCATGTGTATGCTTTCAGTATTTCATGGCTTAGATTAGGTATGTAGAAGGATCCAGTGGAAATGCCTAGGTACAAATTTGACCAAAAACCATCCTGAAGGACAGGCTGGCTGCCAGGTTGGTAACCTAGGTAGGTGAATGTGACAGCCCAGAGCTTGCCCTTCCACGTCTGATAATGATTTGTTCATAAAGCTTTAGTTTTAGAGGATTCTACAGTTTGCCTCATAATAAGGAAAGCGCTTGAGAATTTTTCTTGTCTACTTTGCCACTGTGACAAGAATAATTGTGAAATATGAGTTTAATATTTTTGCATTTGTGAACAAGGGATTTCATTGAAGCTGCTATGAATCATTAACATGTCTATATTTTCTGAAAAAAGTTCAAAGAATGACTTATCAATGACAGATTATCTAGATCTCTTTTTAAGAATTAAATTATATTTATCTGTATGTATGTATATGCAGAAGGCAAACAGACAGGGACAGGAGGCCAAAGGACAGTTTTCAGGAGTGGGTTCTCTCCTACCACGTGTGCCAGGGCCAGGTGGTCAGGCATGGTGGCAAGCACCTTTACCGGCTGACCCACTGACAGCCTCTCGTCATCCTCTCCGCCTCTTCCTCATCACCACTATTATTATTTTATAGTAGACCTGGCTGGTCTGGAATTTGCTATGTAGACTAGGCTAGCCTGGAGCTTTGGAGATCCTGGCTCTGCCTCCAGAGTGGTATGAGTAAAGGTGTGTGCCATCCTACCTAACTTTTTTTTTTTTTTTTATAAAAAGAGTTGTTGACTAAGAGTGTATATTACATTTGTTCATTTACTTATAATCTTACTAAGAAGGCTAAAATATGTGATAAGTATACCAATGACTTATCAACATGTGTTCCTACTTCTCTAAATAGAGATTATTCTATGTTTACAGTGTAGTATCAGGGGAACATTTTGTTTTACATACTTTTTTTTCCATTGCCATTTTAAGATAATTCTGACCAGGCTTTAAAGTAAAATTGTACTATTCTAGAATTTACACTGGAGAAGATCCAATGGATCCAATGGATGTTGGATTTCATGTGAGCATAAATTATGGGTGGAAATTATCTTATTTACACTTGTGGTACCTGAGGTTAGGATTTAGTTGGTCTTGATACATCCAGTGTGGTAGAACAGAAGAATGAGCCACAGTGGAATAACAAAATTCCAAGAAATTATAAGAGTTTTCACGAGGGGCCATTATTTAGGTAACAGTGCATGTCTCCCAGACGCTCGATTTTCATTGCCTTCCCAGTTGTTCCTCTTTAGTCATTTCAGGAGAAAAGCTGCTGAGCTGTTCACAGCAATGCTGCTGAAAAAGCACCCTAGTGAGGGTTTGGTGCACTGACGTTTTCAGACTCACAATGAAAGCTCCAAGATCCTGCACAGCTCTGAGGCTCTGGGCCAGTTACACCGAGTTGAGTTTTCTGCTTTTCTGAGTCCAGCTCTAAATTGAATTTTCTGAGTTTTGCTGTTTCTTTTTTGGGTCTCATGTAACCCAGGCTAGCCTCTACCACCACCACACCTATTCTGTGCTATTTTAGGGCTTGAACTGAGAGCTTAGAGGGCTACATGTCTGCCAGGCAAGCATTCCACCAACTGAACCACATTCCCAACCCTTGAGGTTTTGATGTATGAAGTGATCTAGCCGAAGACAAGTCTTCAAGAGGCTCCTAAGATATAAGAATGTCTGAAGAAGAGAGCTCATTTTATGTAAAAATGATTTGTAAGCTTCTTTGGACTTTCTTATTTTATTTTGAATTATGTGCTATTTGTGGGTATGTGCACTTTAGTGCAGGTGCCTACAGAGGCCAGAGGTGTTGGGTTCTGTGGAGCTAGAGTTACAGGCAGCTGTGAACTGAACTGCTGGACTCAGGTGCAAGGATTTAGACTTGGTCCTCTGCCTGAGCAGTATGTGCTTATAACTGCTGAGCGATCGCTTCAACCCCAACTTCTTGGAACATTAGCAAAAATACAATGTAATGATATGTCAGGGAATGTGTTTCAAACTAGTGTAGGTGGATGACAGAAAACTGAGTAGAGGTTTATATGAAGTGAGATTGAGTTGCAACTTATTAAAACTAGGTTATGGGTTCATGGAGAATAGTATTTAAATCTTTCCACAGTAACAAATTAAAACTATGTTTTGAGATACAGGCATCAGATTTGTACTAGCGATATTGGAATATTGCCCTGGGATTTGTCATCCCAATTGGTCCCTCAGAATTTTTGACCTACCATTCAATTTTGTTTTTAGGTATTAGCTAGAGAAGACATCGACGAAGCTGTGCATGCAATATTATTCAGAGAAAACTATGTTGTGAAGGTAAGCTCTGACTACGCACTGTGTTCTGAGGAGCAGGCCTGGTGCTGAGCAGCATGACCAAGAGCTGCCGGCGCCATGCTCTGCTGGGAAGATGAACAAGCTTAGGAGAGCGGAGATGTGTTTGTCTCAGAGACTCAGGGGCTTTCTCACAGTCACGCCATCCATCACTGAGCGTCTGTATAACGCAGAGCACGATGGTAAGCAGTGGCAGAGCTGCTCACCTCTGGCTGTCCAGGAAGCAAAATGAAAGAAATGAAGGGGCCGGAGTCTCAGTGTCTTCTTCAAATGCATGCTCTTGACAACCAGCCCTGCCTCTTAAGGATCCCACCCCACCCCAATAGCCCCACTAGTTGGAAACACAAACCAGCATTCAAGTTTTGGGGGGGACACTTAACATTTAGACTGTGATATTCTGCGAGAGACTCACTTGCAGGCAGAATGAGGCACCTCTGGTGGCACTCACAAGCCGTGGAGCGCTGAGAATGTGTTACTCCCTGTGGGATGACTGAAATGTCCCACATCTTATATGGACCTGCTTGCCCTTGAGGGGGCTAAGTGACTGTTTTAACTGTTCCCCATCTTTGTCTTTTTTTTTTTTTTTTCGAGACATGGTTTCTCTGTGTAGCCTGGGCTGTCCTGGAACTCACTCTGTAGACCAGGCTGGCCTCGAACTCAGAAATCCGCCTGTCTCTGCCTCCCAAGTGCTGGGATTAAAGGCGTGCGCCACCACCGCCCGGCCATCTTTGTCTTATACTAAACAAAACATCTTTTCTACCAAACCTGGCCTCTTTTCCCCACTTCTTCATTTTGTATTGGACTATATAAAACCACCAGCAATTAATTAGTATTTAAGGGTAATGACCAGTTAAATGACTAATAATCTCTATGAGATTAACAAGCTTTAAAGGAGTTTTCGTCTGAAAGATTGAAATTTAGTATTATAACAATTCCTCGGCATTTTTATTGTGATTCATAATTTACATTCTCTCTCTTTCAAAATAGTTTAGAGAGAGCAGTGGGCTGGGCAGTAACTAATTGCTTGCCTATAAATCCTCATTTGAGTACCAAAAGCAGCAGAGAATGGCATCAAGGCAAGCCGAGCCACTTGCTAGACTGCTTGCTTGGACTTGCTCTTCCTGCTCAGGCACAGACCTTGGCGGTGAATCCTAGATATGGAATGCATGACTAGGTAACATTTTGAAAATTTTAGAAAGAAATAAGAATTTGGTGAGTGAGTTAGGAAAAGCGAAATTTGGTTTATGAGTTGGATAACAGTTTAATCCAAAGGTGTAGACATTTAGAGTTTTCCGTATTTTCTTCCTGTCCTGTGTTCTCTTTCTGAAGTTTATTCTGCACCCAGTTATTTGACTTGAGTAGGCAGCACAGATAGCAGAGCTTATGAGTATCTCCTCCCTCACTAAGAAAATGATAATAAGTGAAAATGTTTGTAATTTGCCTTTTTCTATGACTTTGTTAGAGATTGGATACATATTTACAGCATCTGGCTGTCTTTAAGGAAAGAAGAAAAGAGCTGTTACATAAGAAATGGGTTGAAAATGTGGCACAGCCTCTTCAGCAGAAAATTATAGACAAAGTCATTTCATCTAAAAAACCTGGGAAAAACCAAGTGAAATATGAACACTGCTTAAAGCACACAGATAAACTGGTATGGCTTATCCTTTCCTTACTTAACCATGATGGTTTTCTTCCTCTCCTGTTGTTTTTTTCTCCTGTCCTACTGTGTGCCTGATGCTGCTCACAGCTCCAGGCATTAGGTTCACACTGGAGGTAGAAAGAGGAGGGTGATGGTGTCTGGGACTCTGTATCCTGCTCCTTTGATTAGAAGCACAGAGTCTCCAGCACTGCCTAGGTTGACCTTTCAGCTCTGCTTACCAGGCTGGGGTCAACAGCAAGTCCCAGTTCTGAGCAGGGCCAGGAGAGTGTCTCTGTGGCAGTGAGTGGGAGAAGGGGAGTGGCATGGCCATGCAGTCAGGTGACCACTAAGCTTATGGACAGACTGTTTCTCTCCTTGTTGTGACTTTACAGAACTCCAGCACTCTGATTTTAAAGTTGTTTTCATTTTGAAGTCATGAATTTATGTCCTTGTTTGCAGTAACAAATTTAACTGCTGGCTCTAGGTGTGGTCCACAGAACCTTTGCTCCTTGGTATTTACAAGAAATACAGAAGAGCATAGGTAGAGTGTTAGAGACATTGAAAATCATCGAGTATATTTATAAATAAAACTTCAGAAAATGTGCATTGGATATTAACTCCTAAATGTCTTAAGAGCTGGAACTCTGTATAATCTAGGTGTCTTGAAATGAAAGCATGTGATCTTTCAGAAGTGGAGAAGAGCAAGTGAGACCCTCTTCCTAAGGCTTATATTAGAGGAGGACATTCCTTTTTAATGGCCTCTGTGCCTCCCACACCCCAACACTCTTATGTTCCTTAACCCTGCTCTTCTCACCATTGTAAGAGCAGTTCTGAGGAGGACTTCTCCCAGGACGGGTTAGGAACAGTGTGCTCCTAAAGGGGTGAGCAGAGCCTGTCATAACCAAGCTGCCGCTGGTGGGACTTGTCTGTTCTCCACTGAGAAACCTGTGAGGGTAGAGCTTGGCCTTGGGGTAGCATGGATTGGCTGAGCAATTATTGACTGGTGTAGTGATTTAGTAAAACTACAAAGAGAAGGTCTCTTCCATGTGGGTAGGCCTGCCTCCTTTCTGGGATCAGCATTTACACTCAGTGAAACATCTCCACTAGAGGCAGGCTCACCCATGGTGCTGTAAGCTGACATTTCGAAGTCTTGACTTTGGTTGCTTTGGTGGAGTAAGGCCATACTCCTGTACTTAGGTCCAGATTTAAAGTGTAGTGGGGACCTCAAAGAGCCTCTCTCTCTCTCTCTTTTTTTCTATAGACTAAAGTATCTCCATTGTGTGAATGTCTGTTTCAAAAACAGCCAAAGTTCGGAAAAGAAAAAGGACCCAGTTACCAACATGGCAGAGGTGCTTTGCGACCAACCAGAGGCTGCATTGAAGACACAGCTAAGTGTCAAATAGTCCCACCCCAAGAGCACCTGACTTGCTTTTAAAGAGTTTGATTTTGCTCTTGTGTCTTCCTATAGGAAAACAGCATGGCACACAAAAAGAAGCCAAAGAAACTGAGAAGGGTCTCCTCTTCACCAAGTCGCCCCCGTTCCCACCCAGGTCCCATTGCACTGGTGCCAAAGAGAGGCAGAGAGCCTCTGCGCGGTTCATGCAGAATAAGCCCTGTGGCAGGAACAGGTACAGGGGAGCCAGGTAAGCTAGCTAGCAGGGAGGGGTGGGGTGGGCTCTAGGAAGTATTCAGAAAGAGAATATAAATCAAGCCTAGAGGAGGGAAGGGGTGTGGTCAGCTGCTGGTGGCCATTGAACCCCAGTGATAGATTCAATATACTTTTAAGTGTTTATAGCAAAGTAGCTTTTGAAAACCACTGTGATTTTTCACATTAACAGTAGGAACAGAGGAGGAATAGTCATAATGGTTTCACTAAATGTAGAAAATTAATGTAATTAAAAATCTAGTCACAAACCCCCAAATTAGCACAGTTTAGGAAGATAGAAATGAACTCACTTAATTTTCAATAGAGTTCTATAAATCGTAGAGATCACAGTGAAACATAAAAGCTTTCCCTTTGGTTTATGAACCAAAGAAACTCACTCTTGTCACTTTAGCTTTGTGCTAGAGATCTAACTAATAAGACAAGGGAAAGAAATAAAGGGTAAACGGAATGGAAAATAGTAAATAAAACCCTTCATACTTAACAGATAATATGATGTTCTATATAGAAAAACTAGGGCTGGCGCGATGGCTCAGTGGTTAAGAGCATTGACTGCTCTTCCAGAGGTCCTGAGTTCAATTCCCAGCAACCACATGGTGGCTTACAACCATCTGTAATGGGATCCGATGCCCTCTTCTGGTGTGTCTGAAGACAGCAGCAGTGCACTCACATACAATAAATAAATAAATAAACAAATAAATAAAGAAGAAAAACTCAGGCCGTAAATAATTGTTTTGTGAAACAGGATTTCTCTGTGCAGCCCTGGCTCTTCTGAAATATAAATAAAATATTAAAAATAAAAGAATTCCAAGGAGGGGCACAGGAGCCCCTACCCCTAGCTGAGGGGGTATTGACAGTTGATGACTTTCAGGAAAGGGGAATAAGTTGTCATGAGGGCATGACCCTTGGTAGGTTGACCATGCACCAGTGGATGCCCCCCCGCCCAGTATATGGGCAACACAAATTGGACTTGTGGATTACTTTTTTTAAATTTTTTTTATTGGATTTTTTTTTACATTTCAGATGTAATCCCCTTTCCCCACCACCTAGGAACCCCCATCCCATCCCCCCTCCTCCTGCTTCTATGAGGATATGTCCCCACCCATCCTCCCCCTCCCCCTCCCCACCCAGGATTTCCCCCACACCTCTGTGTGTCTCAGGCTCTGGCAGACCCCATGCAGTTGTTATCACTATTGCTCTGTAGGACAGCTTGAGGTCAGGGATGGTGATTCCCCCAGAAGATCGTTTATTGTTAAGAATAGTTCTTGCTATCTTGGGTTTTTTGTTATTCCAATGAATTTGCAAATTGTTCTTTCTATCTCTAAGAAGAATTGATTTGTAATTTTGATGGGGATTGCATTGAATCTGTAGATTGGGCCCCCCGCGGGGGGGCGCGGGGGGGGGGGGGGGCGGGG